CCTGAGCCGCGGAGTTGGCCCAGCTGCAAATAAACAGCAGTCCCCCCGCCTCCCCCGGCCATCGCCACCTCCTCCGCCCCACTGCGCATGCCCGCTCGCTCCCGCCTCACCCCCCCAATCCCGGACCGGGGCTGGTTCCCACTCCCCGGCCCCCTCCGCCCCCTCCTGCTTCGTGCCCGCGTCCTGGGCGGAGGGACTTTGTGAGCAGGTGGAGCTGGGGGGCGCGGCGCGGGACGGTGGGGGGACGCGGGGACGCGCCCGGGTCCCGCCTAGAGGGGTCAGGCAGGGGCGCATCTGGAGGGACCCCTCTGGGCCGGGGCCACAAGGTCCCAGCAGGTGCACAGCCTGGAACCCCGCGTCTCCCGGAGAGTTAAGTGGCCGCCGCTTCCCGGGAAGTTGCCGGTTTTCAGCACCCGGGACAACAGCAGCGGCCGCGCCGGAGACGCTCTGGGGCCGCAGGGCGCTCGGTCCCGTCACCCGCCCGGCTTCCCGCCTGCCCTGCCCCAGCGTGTTTGGAGGCGCCACCGCTGTTCTAACTTCACAGTCCCTTTCTGGGCCCGCATTTGTTAAAAAAAAAAAAAAAAGTCCACTTTTGACTTGGGCCTGAGAGCTGAATTGGCTTCTGAAACACTTCTCATTTTTATTTCATCACTGAAACTCTTAAGACACTTTGGGAGATGCAGAGCATTTTTTTTTTTCCTACCTAACTGGATCACTTGGGTCTGATTATTTCCTGGGCTGTGGGTGTGTTTGAATTGTTCCTGCTGTTTCAATGGGGGGCGGAGGTGACTGTGTTAGAGACTTTGGCCTTGGCTCCAAAACTTCCTGCCTTTCTGAAAGATTGTTTTCTTTTATAAGTACTGATTATAATATGTGAATAAATTAGTTATCCAAAGTAATGCTTACTAAAAGTTCTCCAGATTTGAAAAATCTGTTGATTCTTTCAGACCCTTTATAAATTTCCGTTGCTATGTTTTTTAATTACCTGGAACTGTACACAACCAGTTAGAGAAACTTAATACAGAAAGTCATCATTTTATTCCCCTCCTCCCAAAATTCTTAAAATATCTCCTTTACCTAAAAAAAATAAAAAGTATTGTCTAAGCATTTTTGTGGCTATTTTCTACACTAAGTCATTTAAAAAATTTTTTAAGATATATCCCATCAGTTGAAAACTCAATGAATTAAGAAAAACACATCCCAACTCAGGAAACATTTCACCCATTTTCACTTTTTTGGTGTGTGGTTACTTGAACATAGTGATTGAGAAATCAAACTGGAAATCCTGAATGTGGATATTTTCATCCTTTCATCAAAACCCTTTGACCCTCTGTTGACTTTAAAATCCACACATTCCAGATTGTGCTAAGTCCCACATAATACAGTACAACCTTTCCTTTTTACCTGCCTGTCAATTTAATAAAAATATATTAAGGCACACTTTGTGCTACAATGTACTAAATATAAAGTTGGTGATCAGAGCTCCTCAGTTCCTCAAATTGTGTGTGTGTGTTTTTGTGTGTGTATGAGAGACATTACCACCGTAGACATCTAGTGTTCTGAGCTAATGGCTAAGATAGTGAAACTGTCCTTGCTGAAATGATAGTGGGTATTCTAGGCCAATGTGTCAGTCCTTACCTACGATTAACAAAAGTTTTCCAGAGACAATGTATTAACCCCAAAGAGTGACTCCAATAATAGATTTTTATAGAAAGCAGATCTTTTCCCCTTCCTCAAATATCCCTAAGTCCAGTGCAGAAGGAAGAGTCCCACCCACCCCCTTGTTATCTGAGTCCCTTTCTTTTTCAGATGAAAACAGTATCAGGATTCTCCCTGACCACGGAGAATAGAGAAGACAGACTGAGAACTGAGATGACAGAGAGACAACAGAAAAGAGAAGAGAGGAAACTTCCAGGTGGGATTCCAGGTCTCTGAGCACAGAGAGTCCACTTAAGCTTTCTTCTAGATTCAGAGCCATCTCTTTTCAGTTCAGATGAATTTGAGATTAACTTAAAATAATGAGAGACCTCAGATCTTCTCAAGGAAAACCAATAGGTAAATACTTCTTAAAATTAGTGCCTTTGCAGCCCATCATTTCCTGATTTAGTGCTACTCTGTGTTACGGAAAAATGGTAACATTGAACCATCTGCTTTTCTCTGAAGCGCAGAATTCCTTTTTTTTTTTTTTTGAGAGTCTCACTACGTCACCCTTAGTACAGTGCCATGACATCACAGCTCATGGCACCTCAAACTCTTGGACTTAAGCGATTCTCTTGCCTCAGCCTCCCATAGCTGGGACTACAGGCACCTGCCACAATGCCCGCTTTTGTTGTTATTGTCATTGTTGTTTAACAGGTCAAACCCCCCAGCCCCAGTGTATGTAGCCAGCCCTAACCTGAGTACAGGTGTCGAGCCTAAAGTGTAGAATTCTTGCCACTGGCTGATAAAAGGATCCAAAAGGAAATTACATTTAATTCTTGTAACTTAGTCTCTGCTTGTATTTAAAGGATTAGTAATTAGAACAATACTACCTTTCAAGACACCTCTGTCCACTCAGAGTAATTTGAAACAAATTATTACAGAAGAGTCTCTCTGAGGCTCATCTCAATTGTCACTCATGCAAATTAAAATAGATCATATTCCTGAAAAAGATTAGGACACAACTAAAAATAAATCAAGGGCAAAGTATTTTAATAAAACAAACTTCAAATTATTGTGACAAAACTTCTTTGTGTAACCAAACTTTTAGACTTCTGACTCTGCTGTGAGGCCCATATGAGTATTTCCTTGTAAAATCCAGTTTTAGCAAAGAAGCTTGCTGCCTCACTTTAGCCAAAATCCTCCGCTCTCAGTATCTGATCATTTTCCTCATTCTCCAACTTGCCCCTAGGTAAGTAACATCTGATTATCCTGGTCTGCCTTCAGCAAGAATCCTGTTAGGTTAGTTTAGCCGGAATCCTTTAGTAACTTTCCATCTGCTGAGTCCCAGCCTGTTCCTTGGCTATAAAGGCCTCCCTGTCTGTGTTCAATGTTGAGCCAAATCTCTCTTCCACCACAAGGCCCATTGCGGTGGTCCCCATACCTATCATGATGGTCCTGAGTAACAGCTTCCTTAACATGCTTCAACAAATATCACTGAGTATTTTTTTTCTTTAACACTGCTTACTGTACTTTCTTAGCCTAATGATAGAGCCTTTTCAGTGCCTTTTCTATATAAATCAATCATAAAATGCAATGTCACAAATGCAGAAATTTAGTAAAAAGGCCAATAACTTAAGTTACACTACAAAATAAGTTTTTATTGTCTAGTTATTTAAATATTACATACTCTCAAAGAAAATATGGAAAAATGAAGCGAAGAACAAAAAAAATTCAATAATCTTGCCACCCAGAGGGCCCATAGTATGACAAGTAACATGTGCTCTAAGAAGCTGGCCCAATACCTAGCAGGGAAGGCACAGGGCAGCCTGGGGTACTGCATGTCTGAGCAGGTGGCCATGCCCAGACCTGTACTCAGACTGGTGGCTACAAGGGTAGCAGCAGAAGCAACAGTGGTGGCAGCAGGCTTGCCCCAGGAGCAAAGAGGAGCTCTTTATGGAGGTAAACTGGCTTCCCCTTCCATTCTAGAGCCCTTATCTGTGGCATCTGCACAGAAATAAAAGATTATTTTAAAAAATCATTTGTGATCTTGCATTTTCCGGCCCTCAGGCAATAAACTTGGCATATTTCTACAAGATGAAAGCATACACATGAATATTGTAATAAAGCATAATATAGGGAAGGAAGACTATATTTTTCCTCCTACCCTTTTTGGTTCTCAGCTAGATCATTGCAGCGAAAGATAGATTAACAAGAAAAAAGCGTATAAATGTATTTAATGTAAGTTTTACACGGAAGACTTCATAAGGACATAGAGACCTGAAGAAACACTTAAACTTGATTATTTTCATACTAGGTTTGCTGAAGAGTGGAGAATCATGGGAAGATGTGATAGGATAGAAAGGGGTGTGAACTTTAGTAAGGGTTGGGTCAGCAGAAAGAGGCTTCTCAAAATAAAATAATTTTTTTTTAAAAAAGAAAGCCCTAATTCAGAGTATGTCCTGATTTCCATGATATAAATATTCCCACCATGGTCAAGTTCATACTCTCAATGTCAATGAGCAGAAAGATGGGAAGAGAGGCCTTCGATGGTATCTCACCAGAAAGACACAATAAATGAGATCAAGAGCATATTAGTAGGGAAATAATTAGGAAATAATGAGTTTTGAGCTTTTATTGTCTTCTTTTTTAGTCTAATTTATGTCATTGTTGGTTTATAGACCTGAATCTTTTTTACAATGGTTATATTTAACGAATAGCTTATAAAATCCTGAGAATTCACCAAGTAATTTTTGTGAGCCAGTATAAGCTGATTTCCTCACACTAATAAGATGAAATATAATCGGCCATTAATTGTATTTGAATTTGTAATTCTGAATTTGAGCAAAGAGTAAGAGGTGGTAGTCATTCTACTTGAGGGGTAGTCATTCTACTTGTGTAATGAAGAAATGACCATCCCAAAGAGGGGTCTAGCCTCTACCCTCAGCTACTAGGAGGTGATCTCTAGGCCCCTAAAATGTCCTGCCTCATAGGAGAGCCTCGGTTTGTTTGCCTGGGGTTTTGGGCCACTGGACAATC